GATTTTCAGCAGAAGACTTCAACGGAGGAAGCCCCTTCACAAGTTTCTTCGATGACAGGATGGACAGATTCTTGAAATTGAGATGGGAAAGACGTCTGTGCCAGAGGTTGTTTTGTTCTGTTGAAGCTTTGGACAACAGACAGATGGAAGTGGTGGATTGAACGCTTTTCAGATCAATAGTGTACAGGTTTGAGGTCCTGTAACACGTTAATAATGAGTTCCCTTCGCTGTTTAGAACACAGCATTGTTTGGCAAAGAACCTCACTTCCATCCCACTGTCACAGAATTGTCCTATGCTCAGAAGATTGTGTTTGAGCCCTTTGACAAATGAGACATCCTTGATGGTGACACTGGCACAGATGACATCCCCATATCCAAGAATAGGAGATGAGGCGTCGTTCCCGAATCTAACATTGCCTCCATAACAGTTGGTATAGTTGCTCAGTAGGCACTTTTTTCCGGTCATGTGGGTTGAGCATCCAGAATCCAAGTGCCACACATGACCGTCCTGCAAAACAATTAAACAGGTTTAGGTACCCATCTTGGAATGGGTCCTTCCTTATCAATGAAAAACACCCTTTTCAATTTTGTTTTGAGCTGTGATCCAAGGTCAGCAGCTCTTTCAACAAAAGATCTATCTCTTGTGGGCTTTTCGATAGCCAGATCTGCTCTTGCAGTGGGTCTGATTTTTGGAGCCCACTTAGCAGTTTCTATTTTAGTTCTGGTGGGTCTGAGATTGGGGACTCACCTGTCCATTTTTGTTCTGGTCGGTCTGAATTTGGGGGCCCACCTTTCAGTTTCAGTTTGGATGGGTCTTCGTTTGTGGACCCACCTTTCAGTTTCAGTTTGGATGGGTCTTCGTTTGTGGACCCACCTTTCAGTTTCAGGTTTGGTAGGTCTCATCTTAGGGACCCACCTCTCAGTTTCAAGTTTGGTAGGTCTCATCTTAGGGACCCACCTTTTTGTTTCAGTTTGTGTGGGTCTTATCTTGGGGACCCACCTGTCCGTTTTAGGTTTAGGAGGAGAGTAGACAGGTGCTTTGTGATTGAACGGTTGTTTCTTCAGTTTAGTTTTGAAAATCTCCTCTTTAGAAAGCCGATTAAGATGTTTCCTTGAATGAACTCTAAGAGAATATTTCATATCAAGAATACAAAACGTTCTCTTAGAAGTTCCTTTCTTGGTTTCTCTTTCAGGTTTGAGCTTTCTAAAAGGCTTTGATTTAACAGCATTCACATCACATTCATAATTTTGGGGGTCTGGAACAGAATAACCATAAGCAATAGTAGAATTATACAAAGAGCCATGTTCAAAAGATGTCACAGAATTTTTCAGCTTGGGACTCAAGACTGAACTACTAGAAGCTGAGTTTACATGGACAGACTTAGACTTAGTTTTAGAGTACAAAATGGAGCTGGATCTGGGACCAAGTTTATTCTCAAAAACTTTCTTCTTCCCAGCAGCTATTTCCTTTCTTTTTATCTCCCACTCTTTCTTCTCTTCTCCTCTTCTTTTCACTTCTTGTCCTGTGACAAAGGGAGAAGAGCGATGAGTGGCAGATTTTTCAGAAGATTTAATTTTATCAGAAGAGGTTTGAGCGATTTTTAAAACAGAATGATATTTTTCACTCAATTCATCAAATTTGCTTAACAATTCTTGCCAATTTCTTTCAGAACTTTTCTTTTCAGTTTCAAAACGCTCTCTCTCATTGTCAAGGGTTTTCTGAAGATCCGCATATTTTTGGAGCAACGGAGAGATGCATTTGTCCTGTCCAGACTTAAAAATTCCAGTTTTGGGAGTGGGACCCATTGGACTTTCGAAATAAGGAACCCCTTTTGGGACATTAAAAATGTCAAACCCCTCCTCGTTGTAGATTACTTTTTCTTTGGAAAGAGCTTTCTCAACCAGAGGAGTATAGTCAAAAGAAGTTTCAATTTTAGGATTACTTCTCTTCTCTTCTTCTTTAGAGGTTTCTTCTTCACTTTCAAATTTCATTTTCTTTTCAATGTCTAGAGTTAAGTAAGTTGCATCATACAATTGGCGGCAGTCAGCTTTCTTTAAATGACAAGGATTCGGCAGTCCAAGACCAACTTTTGGGTTGTAATGCTGAACGTCGCTTATTCGATTTAGAAAAACTGTATGTTCGGTTTGACCTCTTCTGACACACACGTCCTCAAGTTCCTTTACTTTGCTTAAAAGGCTGCTTCTTTTATTTCTTAAAAATTCACAGTCAGCTTTGGCTGTGTTTTTCTCAACTTCGCTGTCTTGCAGTTTCTTAGTCAGTTCAGCTATTTTAAGTTGGGATAAAGACCAAAAATGACACTAAGATTTTTAGCGAATCTCGGATTAGACACTAACGTTTTAAGTAGACCAAATAAACACAAAATTATAGTTTTGGGGTCCATTTATACCACCCTTTAACGCCTCCGTTACCGTTCCCTGTCGTTACCCAAAAGCCCTTCCCCTTCGTTACCCAAAAGCCCTTGCCCACCCCAATCCCTGTCGTTCCCCGCCGCTCTGCCTTACCCCCTTGCCCACCCCAATCGACCTTGTCCATCCAACCCCTGTCCTGCCCTTGCCAGCTCCCCAGCTCCAGATCCGAGCAGCCAACCCCCGATCCGCACTCCCTAGCTCGAACTCCGACCAGCCATCCCCAGCCTCCCAAACCAGCCCCCACCCGAGCCCCAGCCTCCTTGCAACCCCCCTCTCAGCCTCGTAGCCCTTGTCACCTACCAAGCTGCCGGCGAGATCCTATAGATCAAACGGAGCACGACCAGATCTAGATCTTTGCCATAGACGTAGAGATGAAACGACGGTAAGGCAGAGCGGCGACTTTGACGGCAAGGCGGGGCGGCGGCTTCGACGGCAAGGCGGCAAGGCGACGAGGCGGAGCGGCGACGAGGCAGGACGATCGACCTCCATTGTTTCTTTCTCTCCTTAATCCCGATCCTTGCCATTGTTGTCTGCTCCAAGGTAGCTTTAATTGGATGGGGGAGTTAACGGGGAAGGGGTGTTAACGGGGAAGGAGTTAAAGGGTGGTCAAATTGGACCCAAAAACTATAATTTTGTGTTTATTTGGTCTACTTAAAACGTTTGTGTCTAATTCGAGATTCACTAAAAACCTTAGTGTCATTTTTGGTCTTTATCCCATTTTAAGTTCAAAGCTTTCAAAGTCTGAGGACACCTTTTTGATTTGATCTTTGGCATTTTCAAGTTGAACGCTTAAGGAAGATTTTTGGTCAAGGTTCTGTTTCAGTACCCTGTAATTATTGTCTAATCTCTCCTGCAGTTCTTTAATGAGGTTGTCCTTATTGTGTAAGGACTGAGTTTGGATAGTGTGAGAGTGAATAGAGGTACTTACAGTGCTTGTAGAGCATTCACTTCCGGGGATCGCAGCATCACCCTTTTTCTTTTCTTCATCCTCCAGCCTTGCCATCAAAGCGAAGTTTTCTTCCTCTTCTTCTTCTTCTTCAGTATCATCTTCTGCCCACTGGACCAGCTCAGCATGTTTGCCAGAGGCTTCTACTTCCTCCTGTTGTGCCAAGAAGAGCTTTTGTTTATTCATTAGAATCTTCTGTTTGTAGAAGTTTGCATCTCTCTTCTTTGGAAACCGACAGTCTTTGCTGATATGTCCAGGCTTCCCGCAGTTATAGCACACAGAGGTGTCAGCAGTTGATGTAGCCTTCCTGGCTGAGCTTTGGTCCTGGTTCTTCTGTTTGTAGTTGGAGGAAGAGGTTCGCAGCTTATTTGAAGAGTTGTTCCTCTTGGCAAACTTCATGGCCAGCAGGGCCATCTTCTTCTGGAGATCTGCAAGCTCAGCTTCAAGATCAGTTCCTTCTTCATCACTCTCATCTTCATCAGATTCAACCTCCACTACTTTCTTCTTCTTCTTCTGCAGAGGTTTCGCTGTTCTTTTGGGCTGAGCTTCCATCAATAGAGCTAGAGGATTTGGGCTTGATTGCTCCTCAGTGCATACAACATCATTGATAAACTCCTTTAACAGCTCATTTAAGGTGAAGAGATCAATTTCATCCATGTCAATGCGTTGTCTCAAGTCCTTTACTGTTTTACTCCAAGATGGGTGCAGACTGGACAGAAATCTAGTATTCAGTTTCAGGTTGGTTCTGAATATTTTGATTTTCCTCATTTCATTCATCAGCTTCACAAGCCTGGCATGAGTCTCGTGAAGAGGTTCTCCAGGAGCAGTCTTGAACGAGTCATAAGCCATTAGAATAGCAGATTTCTTGGTTTTTAGGCTTATGCTCGTGCCTTGGAGTAATTTTTCAATCTCATCCCACATTTCTTTTGCAGTTTGCATACTGTCAATCATCACGTACACTTCATTGGGGATGGCTTGGAGGAGGTATGTTTTGGCCATAAGGTCTCCTCTCAGCCTTAGCTTGTCTGCTTCAGTGTATTCAGACGGCCTCTTTCATCTTGTTTCTGGAGGAATGGGTGGATTATTAGTTCAGTCCCCTCCTACGTCAATCATTAGAACAGCTGGTCCTTCCAGGAGTGATTCCAGCATTGCGTCGGAGTTTTCTTTGTGTTCTAGGAAATTCAAGAAACGAGTTCTCCACATTTGATACTCCCCTTTCCTAAGAGATGGAGGAGTACTGTTGTTTCCTTGCGCATTGGATTCAGAAGCCATATATGTAGCTGTAGAAAACTGACCGTTCGAGAAATAAGATCAGAAAATTTACTAAGTCAAGAACTCGAGTTCCTGAGTATTAAAGACCTAAACTCGAGGTCTGGGGAACTCGAGGTGAGAGTTCGAGTTTATAAACTCGAGGTCAAGAGTGCGAGTTTCTAAAACTCGAGGTGTAAACTCGCAAGGTCAAAACTCGTGGTCAGACTGCGAGTTTGCAGACTGCGAGTTTGTAGACTGCGAGTTGTAGACTGCGAGTTGTAGACTGCGAGTTCTTGAGCTCGAGTTTGCAGACAGCGAGTTTCTCAACTCGAGTTTGCAGCTGCGAGTTTATGCAATAACACCTTGGGCTGCGAATTCCTGAAAAAATAAAACTTCAGATTTTCAGAAAAACAAAAATGGTAGGTTGTAGCCCTTGTTGTAGAGATCCTTTCACCCAAGTTTTAGGTCAAAAAGCTACACAGAGCTTAGAGAAACGAAGGATGCGAGTTTACAGAGAACAAAAAATTGCGGAAACGAATAAAGAAGATATACTGCTTGATCGGCTTTGAAACACGATTCTAACAGTATAACTTTTACAACATTTGGTGCAGAAATAAGATTACAGATGATAAACTCGCTATTCTACAAAAAAAAGAGTCTTTCGCAGATAGTTCTTCTGATCAGCTCTCGATCGGCTCTGATACCATTTGTTAGTCCCTGTTTTCTATAACAACAGTATAATATGGCATACAGATGAAAGATTAACAACAAAGATGAACACAGAAAGATCAAGTGTAAACCTTCTCTGATATACCGTGAATCTTTCGTACAAGAATGATAAGCGCTAAGGCTATTTTGAGCAGATACGAAAGTTAACCGCAAACCTGAGTCCTCTGCCCTCTTTTATAGGCGAGGCTCAGGTATGCGTAAAAAGGCTTCTCGCCTAAATATGGGCCTAACACTTGGCCCATATTGAATACTATTCTAACAGATATATTTAATCAGTGCAGAACAGAAATAGTAAACATCTAAATTATTACAGACAAAACAGACAAACTTGATTCACAATAAAATAGTCTTCAACAGATCCTAGAGTGTAAGATAGGGTTGTGAGCAAGCTGAACAGTACTCAGGTTATCACAATAGACTTTAGGAACAGAAAAAGAGACTTGAAGTTCTTGTAGAAGGAATTGAATCCATAATAACTCTACAGTAGTATCAGCTAGGCTTCTATATTCAGCTTCATCTGAAGATCTTGCTACTCTGTCCTGCTTTCTTGACCACCATGAAACAATGTTAGAACCCAAAAATATGTATGAGCCAGATGTGGATTTCCTGTCATTAGGGTCAGATGCCCAGTCTGCATCACAATAGGCTGAGATTGGAAGAGGTATGGAGGATAGAGGTAGAGGTTTGATGATGAGGCCATGATTGGTGGTACCAGATAGATACCTGAGAATGTGTTTAACTGCAAGCTAGTGTTCTTGCAGTGGTGCTGCCATAAATTGATAAACCTTGTTGACTGCAAAACATATGTCAGGTCTAGTAAGAGTAGCATATAGCAGAATTCCTACAACTGATCTGTAGTAAGAAGGATTTGGGAGATGGTTACTGCCCTCTTTAGTGAGTTTTGAAGTGCTGACCATAGGTGTTTTCACTGCTTTGGAGTCAAGCATACCAGTTTGGTTAAGTAAATCCTTGTTAGGGACCTAGTAGAATGAGAGTAAATAAGAAGAGTAATAGCTAGAGTAGTATAAATAGAATCAATGATAAGATCCTCCAGAATTCCAGAACAATTACAAGAAGAGTAACTAGAAATCGGCTAAAGAATTTTATTGAAGAAGATATCGATTACAGAGAAGAAACAGTGAACAAGGCCGAAGCCCCCAAAGTCGTAGCCCCAAAAGATCGAGATGTTCAGTCTCGTATCTTTCCCAGTCCCAAGACCAAATGTCTAAAAGCCTACCTGACTTCTCCCAGCTTATTCTATTTATACTACTCTAGCTATTACTCTTCTTATTAACTCTCATTCTACCGGGTCCCTAACAATCCTTGATATATTTGGCTTGGGAGAGATGTAGGCTGCCATCAGGTAGTTCATGTGTTTCTATTCCCAGAAAGAAGTCAAGGTCTCCCAAGTGCTTCAAAAAGAAAGAGAAGTCAAGAGTTTTAATAATTTGGTGAATGGCAGTAGGATGATTTCCAATAACCAATATGTCATCAACATAGATTAAAATGTATAGTTGGATTCCAGAAGACAGGTAAATGAGTAAGGAAGGATCACTTTTACTCTATTTGAAGCCAACTTTATACAAAACTGAAGTTAATTTGAGAAATCAAGCCTGTGGGGCTTGTTTAAGCCCATATAAGGACGTTATGCAACTTGCAGACAAGAGAATTGTCTTGCACTTGAAAACCTGGAGGCTGCACCATGTAAACTTCTTCTTCAATTTCACCATTTAAGAAAGCATTATTAACATCAAGTTGCTGAATAGACCATTTATTTGATACAGCAAGTGTAAGAAGAACTCTTATTGTCACAGGCTTGACAACTGGAGAAAATGTTTCTCCAAAGTCAGTACCAATTTTTTTATGAAAACCCTTAGCCACCAGTCTGGCCTTGTACTTGTTCAAAGAATCATCAGCATTTTCTTTAATTCTGAAAACCCATTTGTAGCCAATGCATTATACTCACACTTCATAGCCTCAAACCAGTGAGGAGAAGCCATGGCTTGTTTTACTGAGTTAGGCTCAGTATGAACTGTGGAAACCCTAGTAGTATTGGGCTTAGCCCATTTGTATATCTTGTATAGGAAACCCTACTACTCTAAATATAGCTATAAATATAGCTTCTTATATATCATTTTAATATCAAGTATATGAAATGTAATAATACTTGTTCACATGGTATTAGAGCCATTATGGCAATTGTTAGGGTAGTGTTATGATTTTTTTTCCGGCGTCATTTCCGGACTGAATTCTGGCGTGAACAGTATCGCGACTTTCAAATGAGTGCTTCCGGTAGTGATATCAACCCACCGTTGTGCTCAAGGCTTCATCGCGACTTACCGCCGGAGGAATCACCTGTGCCGCATCACCCACGCGTCGCTGAAGTCCGCTCCTGTGGTTTTACATTTTTTGCAGATCTTTCTCCTTCTGCTTATCTGCGTTGACACCTCCAACCACCAGAAGTTCCTGAGTTTCCGGCGACCAGAACGACATAAGTTACGCCGCCGTCGACCGAGTCACGCGCCGCCGCCGTCAAACGCGCCACCGCCAACCGCCGCCGACATCTTCCGAACACCGTCGTCCTGCGCCGACCGCCATCAACCAGCAGTCATCTGCACCTCCCCAGAAAGGTAGAGGTCTGTTCTCTTCATGTCTTTGTAGCAACAGTTCTTCAACCTGCCTGCAACCTGCCTAGGGTTTCTTACGCTTGGGGAATTCTTAAGTCTGTTACCGCTGCTTATTCTCTCTGGTTCGCTACTTTGCTGTTTTTTTTAAATTACTCATATTTACTTTTCTTGCAGCAGTAGTTTTTATATTTACGTTTCTCTTTGCAATATTAAAAAAAAATAAAAAAAAAAAAGAAATTAAAATTCGGCTAATGGCCTTCAAACTTCGGCTTCAGGTATTGGGCAAGCACTTCCACTTTCATCCTTACCATTAGACTCGGTCTTATATGTCCCAAACACCCCTTTTAACCTTGTCTATGTCAGTAAAATTACACGTGCTCTTAATTGTTCCATAACATTTTCTGCTGATTCTGTGATGGTGCAGGATCGTTGTAAGGGGAAAACGATTGGCGTCGGCCATGAATCTCAAGGTCTGTATCATCTCCATCCTCTTGATCCAACCGTTTGTGTTTCAATTGAACCTGTTGTTACATTACATAACCGTCTGGGTCATCCTAGTCTCTCAAAGTTTCAACGTATGGTTCCAGGTTTCTCAAGTCTTTCATCTTTAGATTGTGAGTCATGTCACCTTGGAAAACAACCTCATGCGAGTATCTACAGCGAATCGCTCGAGCATGAAATGACTCTGAAAGCGACGCAAGCAACCACGAGAACAACATCTGGTCCTGTTGCTCCCAGATAGTATACTCCGCATTGACATTTTCACTTGCTTCATCGACATCAGAGTTGAATTTCTTCAGAATTTGAGGTTTCACGATGAATCGAAGGAGTTTATGCGCTCGAACAATAACTTCCACGTGATGCTTCCAGAAGATAAAGTTATTTGCATCGAGTTTGATCGGTAGTGGATGTGCGAAGGTTACAGGAGAATTCGAATTGGCAGAATTGGCAGTAGAATGAGAAGAATCGTCTGAGATCACCATGGATTCGAGCTACAACTCTGATACCATAATAGAAATCTTACAAAGAGAGATAGAGAAAAAGCTTATTATTACTTAACTGTTCTGGAGCAGCATTACAAGATATATATAGAATCAGTTAGGTCAGGCTACTAACCAACCCTAACCGACTCTAACAAACACAGATTAAGTACAATAGACTATTCTAGAATGTATATCTAACATACCAAATTGATAGTTTTCCCAAGAAATTGCCCCAAGTGGGAGTAAACACAATGTGGAGTTCTAAATTAGGAGTACTATGTTTTAGTGTCTTAATTTAGAGTAATTATTGTCATAATTGGAAAATACGGCCAAATATGACATTAATATTGCCACATCAAAGCTTGGTAATTGCAAAATATGGCATTAAATATTAGGATGACAGCATGTTACTCTTATTCAGGAAAAAAATATAGAACGGAGTACTACGTTGGAATTTTACTTTTTTTTGTGACATATCGGGAATAGTTTCCCTTATTATTAGCATTGTTATATTATCTCCAACAAAACATTTGTGCAGGTTGGGTTGTCAAATATATTGGAGGAAATCATAGAGACCTTGAAGGGAAGGTAGAGGTCTCATATCTCTTCCTAAAACCAGTGACTAAAAAAGAGGCTCCGGACTATCATAATTCATAAGTATGTAAAGTGCCCTATGGATTTATCCACCATTCGAGAAAAGGCGAGGAAGTTGGAGTACAAAAACAGTCATCAGTTCAGGCACGACATGGCACAGATTGTCATCAATGCACATATGTACAACGATAACTGCAATCCGGGTATCCCTCCCCTTGCTGACCAGCTTATGGAGATATGTGACTTCATGCTGATGCAGAATGATGCTTTATTGTCTGAAGGAAGCCTGTTACTGTATGGATATAACTTGTCTGTTGTATGTAATTTGACCATCTCTAACTTTAGGCGTGTAAGGACACGGTGGAAGGACTCCTGGATAGATCACAGCCACTTGGATTGCCTTGCAGAAGAAATTGTTCTGAGTGAGCGGCCACAAGGCGCACCTGACAAACTGAATCCGCCATGTAACCACTATTCTGATCCGTTAGTAATGTTTAGTTCTGATAACCCCACCCCCACCCAACGTGTATTGTTAAAAGTGGTTTATTTAGCTCTCAAGTCTCACCCAGAATAAGTGGGTTGAACTCGGTCTTTTAGCTTAAACAGCCCTTACAGCCTGATAAGGCGTACTAGCTCCTATGTTGAACCATAACAAGCCTGCCTGGTAATTGGATGGCTTGAGTAAGGTCACTTTTCGACATTGAGACCAATTTTCATTCTCAACCGTCACATTTCTATTGGAGTGTCCGGATGAAGGTGAGCTGTTGGTGCTTAGCTTGATCCTGTTGTTGAATGAGTTTCTTCGGAAATTGTCGGCATTAAGATATACTCCCTCCCGTCCCAAATGAAATTCACACTTTGACTTCACACAAATTAAGGAAATAAATTTGACTTTACTGTAGAGTATACTGTTGTGAAACTGTTTGACACTGTTTGGCACTGTTTTTCACTGTTTTGCATTGTTTTGATGTAGATAATTTGACAAATAAAGAAGGGAGAAAAAATGTGAAGTTTATTTTGGACCTACCCAAAAAAGAAAGTGTGAATTTCATTTAGGAACGGAGGGAGTATTTGATGTGTAATACATATGTGGTAGCGTTAGAATAGAGAATGGTCAACACATAATTAGACATGAAGTTCTGGGCACCAGTTTGGTTTTGGTTTACCTGCGTGTATCCGTTCAGTTTTGGACATTTAGATTCAAAGATTTTTTTTCTTTTTCTTTCAAACATACCAAAAAATAGTCCCAATAGTTGAATACTAACACTCCAAACGTGAAAATTTGGACAAACGAAATTCAATTATATTATTTATTGATGACATAAATGATTACATTTTGAAATGCTTAATTGAAACAATCGAGGGACACCATCATACATGAATTTAATATCTATACTCTAAATGACAATTTTAGCATTCATATTAGGGGTTTTTCCTTGAATATTACCTATTTGAAGCAATTTTCCAAAAAAGTGATCATTTTAATAAAAGGATAAAAATGTGACTAAAAATGTCACATATATGAAAAACATGATGTCACCAATGTTTTATGTCACTATCAGATTTTTATGTCACTATTATATGTCACTATCAGATTTGTATGTCATTTTTTAAGTCACTGTAACTGCCGGAATAATTTCCGGCAACCTTTTTCGGTGAAACTATAACTAACCAGATGTCATTGCTGCCGTCGCCCATGTCATTGCCGCTCGTGTCAGTACCGCCGCTGCCGACTACCACACCTTCATAGTGACATTTCTGCAGTGATATTTCAGTGGCATATCCAGGAATAAAAAATACTTTGCCCAACCTCATGTCACCGTGACATCTCCGCGGCCGCCACAGTGACACAAAATTACTCCGGCCACCGCCCTCCGGTTAGTTACCACCATCTCCTCGCCCCCCAGCTAAAAATGGGAGAAAAGAAACAGCAACTCCCATCTCCGCCTCAACATTCCGGCGGCTGACATCTGGCATGGCCCGCCGGTGGGCTTACCTCCGCCATTGACAGCTCATCTCTCCCCACCTCAACCCTACCTAGCCCCCTAGCCCCCCTCCCCAATCCCTCCCTTCCTACCCCTGGCCCAAATCCCATCCCAATCCATCGCAATACCCCTAACCAACCCTAGCCACCATTTGGATCTGGATAAACCCCAACCGTCCCAAGCCATCACAGATCCGAAGGTAGGGCGACGGCGGCGGTGGCAGGGAGCGATGGTGACGTCCAAAGCAGCGACGTTTTTTTTGCTCTACTCGTCGGGGTGAGGATGACGAAGACCATGGGAAGGGCGGCGGCGATGTTCCATTAGGCTCTGCCCGCGGAGGACGATGGTGTCAACCAAGGCAGCGACGACCAAGGAGTGGAGGAAGAGGTGGTCCGGCTGCTCTGTCCGCAGAGGAGAGATGCTTTTCATCGATGGATTGTTCCTTCTGTGAGTTGCGTCGATGTCTTCCAGCTAGGGATGGCAACAACTGGGCGGATGGGGACGGTTTTAGGTATAACCATCTCCCACTTGGGTAATTTACCAGCCCCCTAATTGTCCCATTATCCAAATCATAACCGCCCTAACGGGTAACGGGTAAAACATCGCGTAATCGCGGATAACCACTTTATTAATTCATTTAATTGAGTCATTAAATTTTGATATAAAAATATTGTTTTTATTTAAAGACGAAGAATGACATCGCCTAGACGACTCTACATTTCAAATGTGAATTTAAAAATTCGTATATCTACAAGACGAGAAAGGAAGTAACTTAAATTAATTTGAACCTAAAAATACTCGATCTAAAAAATAATTAATCACAAAAAAATATGGTAATAATCTAACAAGACTATTAAAATCTATCATGAACTTTCGTTCATACATTATAGTTAGTACATCTATTATCTATACATACACAATGAAAAGAAAAAAATCTCATCTTTTAATAGATAAAAATATAACAAATATATAGCTACAAATAAACGGGGCGGGTATGGGGCGGGTAATGGGGCGGCATGTATAAAACCGTAACCGCTCCATTATCCGTAAAAATAAAACGGGGATTCCCTGCCCCGTACCCGTTACCCGGTCAATGTGATTTTCCCCATTTTGACCGGGGCGGTTCGGTGCGGATATCCATTGGTTCGGTCACAATTGCCATCTCTACTTCCAGCGCAACAAGAAATGTTTGGGCCGAAGATGGAGGAAGCTGGGTCACTCTTTTTTGAGAAAACATAAAGTGATCATATTTTTGGAATTAGAAACTTATGGAGTATTATTAGTGTCATTGTTTCTTCATATTAATACGGTAATAACATGAGAATGTAAACAATATAAGTAGGGGTCGACGGGTGTAATGATTTACAAAATGTAATATGATTATAATTACAATGTCAATGTAATACTTTCATAATAATATAAAATTGACGGTTAAAATATTTCATTAATGTGATTGTAATATGAATGACAAATTAATGAGTCCAACAATAAGTACTAATGCATTGAACTCACCTGGTAATATTGGAATTTTAAATTGGTTGAATTTGTAAAGATTGATGAAGTTTGATTGGAATTTGGAATCCGTTGAATTTGTAAAAATTGAGGAAGTTTGATGAGAATTAATTATAAAATTAATACTCCATCCGAATTTTAATGTTCACTACAATAGATTTAGGGAAATAGTAGGAGTAATGAATAGTGTAGAAAAGGTAGGAGAGATTGTGTAAAAGTATGAAAAAGAAGATAAGAAGTAAAAAAGTAGGGGTAGTCAAATTATTTTTAAAGAAAACCAAAAATGAAAAGTGTAACAAACTTTTAAATACATCTAAAACAATAAAGTGTAGAAACATTAAAATATGGAGGAAGTATATATTTTATTATTCAAATCAAGAAAAACTATAAAACTATACTCCCTCCTTTCCATAAAATTATTCTCACTTTCCCTTTTGGGCCATTCCAAAAAATTCTTCCACTTACCATTTTTGTACAATTTGTGTAGTTCACATTCATTTCACTTTTTTCTTACACAACTACAACCACACATTTCCACTTTATTCAACTTTCTTAATCTTCGTGCCAAATCAAAGTGGGAAGAATTTGTTGGAACGAAGGTAGTAACTCCTAAGTAATTCAAAACAATTCAGTTAGAAATGTAAAATTAATTTTACTTATTTTGATTATTGCATAACACAGAGTGTAAAATTTAAAATTTCGTGTTTGATTGATAAAATTGATAAGCCTAAAACAAGAGTCACCAAACTAGCCATAATTGTACACTTTTGGGAAAAAGATGACAGCTTTAACAATGTGATTGTGTTAAAGAACGAACTATTAATAGAATAGTAGTACGATGACTTTAATAATAAAATTACAATACTAATTATTCTACTATCTCTATCTCAAATTGATTTTGCAAATTTGACTTTTCTTGGTCAAACAGTTTCATTTTTTTGCTTAATTAGGATGTCAATTTTTAATTATATTCTAATTTGGAGTTTACAACTTTGAAGAGATTTTACTGTAGTTTCTGAATATATAAATTTTAATTATTAAATATTAAATTAATTATCGATAAAGAGCATTGACTTTTTTTATTGTTTGACCAAAAATTTTTGACTTTGCAAAATTATTTGGGACGGAGGGAGTACTACGTACTACATAGTAGGTACTATTTTAAGAAGTGTACAAACAAACAAAAAGACATTGTAAGATACTGAAGAATGGGAAATTGGGAGTTTGAAAAAATGTGAAAGTTGTAGCAACAAATAATACAATATAAATGTGCATATGGAGTATTCTAAAAATAGAAATTGTTCATTATAGGACTAAAACATACACATAATTCAAAAATATAATTAAGTATGTTTTATTCCCCGATAGGACTTATTCAATTCTATTAAAAGAATAAGTTCATTAAAACTTCCCAAAATAGGAGTGCATGAGTCATATTTTGAGAATAAAATAAAAAATGTGATCCTATCTATCAACTTAATCCTTGTTTTTGTCCTATTTAGGGATTTTTCCCTTAAAAATCCAATGATTATGGGTATGTTTGGCACAATTAACTGAAAAAATACTTTTGTGATCTTTTAAATAATTGTTAGTTTTTAGTGACCGAAAAGATCTTAAAGAGAAAAGGTGGTAGCTGTTTAGTAAAAAGTTGACTGTTTGCTTTTATAATTAACCCTCGACCCCCCACCTCCTACACCCCCCAACCCCACTCCACCCCCAAACACCCAGCCCTACCCTGGAAAAACAAAAAAAAAATGAAAAAAAGGCCCGGGCCGGTTCACGATATTGAAGGCCCGTACCCGACCCGCCCCAATCCCCGGGCCGGGCCTAGGCCCAGAACCGGTTACCCAAAACCGGGACAGTCCGGGCCCGCACAGTAGCGGGCTGGGCCGGTTCACGTTCCGGGCCCGTTCCATCCCTACTCTGTCATATAGTACTTTAAATGTAACATTTTTATTTGGTAAACAAGCAAGATATATACTTCAATTCAGTTCTGCTGTTTTGTTGATATTTTTATTAAGATGATTCACTGTTGGGGAGTGGATCACAACTTGTTGATTAGGGAAAAAATATGTATGTGGCAAACCTACAATACCGTTGGAGCATTTGGGTGCCCTTATATGCTTCTGCCAATAATATCTCGGCAATAAATTTGCTAGGTAAAGTGGTAAATGTATCTTTTGAGGATTCGTATCCCAATGGTGCGGAAGCTCCTCCCACACAAGGGTCAAATGCACAAATGATACCTTAACTATTGATATTGTTGTAATTTGATACCTTAACTTTTAAATGAACCAAATAAGTATCATAAATATACATAAATGTTCCAATTGAAAGCATTATTCAAATTTGCAGCCAAAAAACCTACGGAATAAAAGTTCCATGTGTAGAGTCCACCCTATGGTGATGATATGGACAAAAGTAAGATCAAGTGGACTTTATACATAGAATTCCAGCAGCCACGTATGATTTTTGGTCAGAAATTTGAATAATATTGTGAATTGAAACATTTATATATAGTTATGGTACTGATTTGATTCATTTAAAAGTTAACCGCAACATTACTACTACCTCCGTCTCATTAATGTAGTTTCTGAATATGTTAATTTTATTTACTAAAAATAATCAGAGTGTGAAAAGAGATTATGTTGCTTTATCGTTAGTCAAACATCGTAAACCGTCAACGGAAACATTCTAGCGAGACGAAGGGAGTAATAGTTAAGGTACCAATTCGTCATGGGTACCTATATCATTTTATTTTAGAAGTACTGATGTAATTAGTTTGAGTAGCATGCAACATGATACTTAAAAGTATAATTTTTTTTCTCTACATGGTTGGCAAACACTTAATTTCATGATAAAACAACTCCTATAACCGACATTGGTTTTTTGGAAAGGAAGAAGGCGACTTATATTCAAGTAGCAAAAAGACACAGGACGTGTTTGCCATTTAGCGGATAGCGGATAACAAATAGCGGATAGCGGATTATGTTAGCGCGTTGTCAGTAGCTGATTCAGTCAGCGAATTTGACTATCGGAATAAGTTGCCAGTTTGCCAGAAGATGATTGGTAATTTAGCTGTTTGGCCACAACAATTAATATTAAACACCATGTTTCGCAATGTTAATTTGAAACTCTCCTATATGCAGTGTTTCCATTTAAGCGGTTCCAGCAAAAAAGGTTAGGATCGAACATCTGTTTACCAAACAACGTTTTCACTTAATGAAAACGCCAAAAGGGTCAACCTACCATTTTTTAGCTTAAACGTCATTTCACAAACACCTCTTAAAAGCCTAATTCAACTGTCAGCCCCCGAACCAGACTTATAGTAAATCACCTTCCAGAAAAAATATTACTGACTAATCTTGTAAAGGACATAACTGAGCCAATGATTAACACGGACTTTTTATGTGACACCGCACCCAAACGTCCTGGAAATTCAAAGTTAATTTCAAAGCTTATGCATTGAATTTCCCTATTTTCGAACAATTGTAAAACGATTAAAGTTTTACGGAATGTATGATTGATCATATTATTATTTGGGCTCATATAATGGTAATGGACTTCTAAACAATTAATTGGGTCATACTATTGATATTGGGGCCCAACATTCTTAAATAAAGATATACAACCCCTCGGTACAATGTAAGAGCGGTCGGGCAGCCCAAATATTATTTTGGGCCTAACTTGCTAAAAATAGTAATTATTCAAGAATAGCATCCTAGACCCATTGGAGGGTGACCCACACGGTTCGTAGCCCAGATATATAAATATTAACATCATAAATGAATGATGGAATGATTGGAGAAGAATACAAATGCCTATGGTCCCATCTTTGGCATTATTAGGCTAAATAATGGGAGTATGGTTTTCTTTTGTAATTATACATCAAATAAATTATTGGAACCACCCTAAACATATTAGAGATCAATAATATGATGTAGAAGGTTCACTTGTTCTAAATAAATTGGGGATAGTATAAAAGTACATCTTATGACAAAAGACAAAAATAATAGGACTCATCATTCCACTTTTGGATGTATTGGTAGATATTTTGCTCCTAAATTAATTAGGGGACGTGAGAGTACGCCCCACACCTTCCTAGCACCTGAAAAACAAGTATAATAAGTTAGATCACATAAATGGGGCGGACCTATGGAGTTGAGAGCTCAAACAATACAAAAAGAAATAAAAGAGGGAGACCATCCCATGTTTGATTGGAATCAAACACCCTACCTATTATTTTTGTGAACCACATATTAGGATAACCTTTTGAGAGCTCCTAAACACCTCTCCCTCAACCCCATTCGAACTCAAAGGGATAAGGAAGAAGGAAGAGCCGCACAAACCATTCTAGAGTGAGATAGGAGAGCTGGCCGCAAGATGTTTTCCAGGTGCGTAGACCTTCTTGTGCGACTCATATCTCGAGTTCTACTCATCCAAAAGGGCGTGTAGAGTGTCCACTGAAAGCTCTCGAAACGAGGAATCGATAGGGGTGCGGTTTGAAGAAAAAGGAGCATCTTAAGGCCTTCAAATAATCCGAACAGAACGCAACCTCACAGAATACGTTTTTGGTATTCAAAGTAAGTTCAAATCCAAAAGCTTCCTTTCTATTGCCTAAATCCTATGAATGATTGAAGAACTATTATACAATGGTTTAATTGTATAAAATGTT